GTGGCGATACTGAACCCCGCCCCGTGGACAGCTGTTAAGGCAGCTCGTTCCTGGCCCCGGCGAAGCAAATCCGTGCCTATAGTTTCCCCAACAGGTTCTCCACGGATTTCTTTCATTTGTATGTAGGTGGGCATACAAGATTACATATAGAATGTATATATATAAAATAAAACATGACGAACCCAGGAAATAATGCGAATATGCTATGCTTGTTAATTGTTTCCTAGCAACGAGTACAATTACCCATGCAACTTCTAGAATTTAGCAAATATGCAAACATGGATTACATTTTGGGAACTTATCAAATCAGGAAATGGTACGAGATAAAGGTAATATCTACGTAGCTCTGGAAACACCTTTGATCTGAGTATTTCAAGTGCCCACAGGAGATCACCAGTGTAATATTGTTTGGCACCCACTGTTCGTGCTCAGTAACTGTGTTCCTCCTGCATGCATGACACAGAAACCAATCAATTTAAATATTGGAGCACTAAGCACAGTGTACAGTAGCTCATTTTTTCGTTTTATTTCTTATTTGCCTGTTTTGCTTCGCATGCTAATCAATGGCAAGGATTCTTATTCGTGCGGAAATCTGGGCATGTTTATTAGTGCAGAATGGGAGAGAAGCATGCAAAATTTGGAATTTCGCAGTGATCAATGGTGTAGGGAGAAAAACTCATGAAAATCTCAACCAGGCACCTGATGATAATAACAATTAGTCCTTGCTTATTTGTAGAAATGTGTGTACTGGATCAACTGGTGGCAGTGGCACAGTGCATGACTTGGACACCATGGGACATGCTTAATGATATTCACTGTATGATCCGGCATTGTGCCTGATGACCACGATAGATCATCCCATGAAGTATATATCTTGGCATCTAACAGTTGGAAGATTGATCTAACATGGTCACATTATAGTCTGGTGCAGGCGTTTGTGGTTGGAGCGAGGTCATCCGGTGCTCATTGGGTTTGTAGGAACTTTCCCCGATGACAAGCAGCCCTCCGGTTTTCTCTTGCTCCTTTGGACCTCGGATACTACTACACATATATTGAGAGGCTTTTGGCAAAGGGTATGAGGGAATTTGCAAGTCAAGATCAAGGATAGACTTATAGTGAGAGTTCATGTTTGTTTGCATCTCTTAATTGGCTCTTGGCTAGGATGTTTGTGAAGTGAAGGTCGAAGACTGCTTGTTACTCTTGTTGTTTGCCAACAACTAATTAAACGGTCCAATGGAGAACAAGGTGACCTCATATATATTAATTGGTAGAGTTATTGACTTAGTACAAAATTTAAACTGCACTTATTTTGGGAGAGATGTAGTATCCATTTTACATGCACCATAGGAGCTTGCCCGCCCTTGAAAACAACTAACCAAACCATTGTTTGATTTGGCAATGGTTCGCTACCGACATGTACAACTTACATGCTTCCTCGAGTCAAAAACACTAGTCACATTTAACTTTTGACCAATTTTTACTGCATATATTTGACCAGTGGTATCTTCAGATAAAATATTATTAAAACCCTTCGTGTTCATGAGATTGTGCGAGTATAATACAAATCTATACATTATTTTATACATATATTTTCAAACTAAATCTATTAGCTTGATGATTGTAGTTTTAATAAAGGTTTGACTAAAAAATTTTAACAACATGCTTTTATGGCCGGTTGGAGTATATAGTGCTTGTAACTGTAGATCGATCGACGTAGCAGTATACTCCCTCCGTCCTTAAATAACTGTCGTTCTCGCTTCTCGAGAAATAACTTTCACTAATTTTATATAAAAATATTAATATTTATGGTACATAATTAATATCATTAGATAGATCGTTGAATCTATTGTCATAATAAATTTATTTGGAGATACAAATGTTACACGTATTTTCTATAAATCTAGTCAAACTTACGGCATGGAAAAAAAAACGATAGTTATTTAGGGACGGAGAGTTGTATTACTGCATCACGATGGTAATGGTAATGGTAATTATCTTACGACGCCAATGTGGTCATGCATGCCGTTGTCACATGCATGTGACGTGAGCAAGAAATTTGAAGCAGGACTGGCGGGGGCGATCAGTACAGTGTCGGCTCTCCAGTAAAACCCCAACACGTGTCCATCGTAACATCCACAAGTAGTACGGTACATGTGTGAGGACAAAAATCACCACGGTGTCCATCGTATATCCACTCGGATCAAACGGGACGGGACCTTAATTACTGCTGTGTACCTGCGGCCGGTTCCGGTTCTTGGTAGTAAAAAAAAATTTGGTGACTTGGCGAGAGGGTAGTAGGTGCCATTACTCGTATCTGAGACTCTGACGACAGTTGAGAAACTTGTATACGGTGTACACAGATATATAAAGATACATATGCATAACTAAGGTTGACTAGTTGACTGAAGATACTTAGCTTGTTCGGTGGTTAGTTTCTAGGCTGATAAACCCGGCTAATACTGATTTGTTATGAGAGAAAAATACTATACTATGCCTGATAAGCCCTCAACATGCGAACAGACTGACAATATAAAGCCAGCGAGAAATGGAAACCGTTAGAGTTGGTGAGCTACTGGTACCAAGGACACTGGCAAATTATGGAACTGATGATGATGGTAATGAGTGTACGTACTAGCTAGCTGCTGCTTCATCCATTCTCATCTGCATCATCTTACTTTGATCTCAAGCAAAGCTGATAACTGTTGTCGCTGGTACTACGTTATCAAACAAACAAACAAACAAAAAAAAACTGCTGCCGCTGGTACGTGTAAGTTACATAATAATTAATTCAGCAGGGATTCTGGAATTAATTAAATTGATTACTGTTTTATGTGCAAGATTCTGCTCCACAACTACTCATCACATTAATTGGATAGTACCATAGTCATATAAGCAGTATAATTCATGCAACAAATAAACCTAAGATTCAATGATGATGCGAGGCTCCTTATTTCTTCGTATGAAGAAGAGGTATTTTTGTAGAGCCTGGCATGAAAAAATAGGTCCTGAATAGTCATTAGTTTGGACAGTTTTACTCCATACAAATGCAATTCTTGTTTTTTGACGAGTCAGATGATTTGGGCCTTGAACAAAATTATATAAAACATACTAACATTTATAATACAAAATAAGCACCACTAAATTAATTATATAATATATTTTTATAATAAATTTATTTGAAACATAAATATAATATTAAAACTATAATTTAGTTAAATTTGAGCAAAATTTACGGGCACTACTCCTGTAATTATATATATTTTTAGATGAAGGTAGTACTATACTGTGCAAAGTAGTAGTAAAATATTGTGTAACATACCTAGATTCTCTTGCAGTGACACAACTGACAAAAGCTTCCCAAGTAAAACAAACATGCAGTACCTTTGCAGCTCATCATCAAGACAAGATCACAGGAGCTAATCAGTTTAAAAAAATAGTATATACAGGTACAGTTACATTTCCACCGACCATTATTAGTAGCTAAGGATAAAAGATGAGCTGAAACATCATTCACATGCATGGCGCGCGCAGGGTCCAAATTAGCATCATGGCGCAGACTTGGGCATGCATGCTGTAACATAAAACAAAGGCAGGAAGATTGCAGCAGATGCAAGCTTCACGTGGCTGCCACCTACTGTCTTCTCGTCGGGCCAGGACTCATGTGCCCCCTCCTCCTAAAGCACACAAAAAGAAACTCAGCCCTTGTTTAGTTGACTGAATTTGGATTTTAGGAGTAATGTAGCACGTTCGTTTTTATTTGGTAAATAGTGTTCAAACATGGACTAATTAGGCTCAAAACGTTCGTCTCGCAATTTCCCACCAAACTGTGCAATTAGTTTTTATTTTCGTCTACATTTAATGCTCCATGCACGAGCCGCAAACATTCGATGTGACAGGTACTATAGCAACTTTTTGGACTTTTGGGTCCAACTAAACAAGGCGTCACTCGATCTCGCCAGCTAATCTTCAGTGAGTATTAAACTCTCACAGGTCACAGCTTAGCTAGTATCAGTGTATTACCAAACTTTTCTTAGGCAATTTTCAGTTAAGAGTTTTATAGTGTTGTTTAAAAAACAATAGAATGCAATGAAACAATCACTTTCAATGTATATGTAGTTTCATTTCTTTTTGTTTCAAACATTTTATTATATAGCTCATTTAGAGTTGGAAACCGAGCCCAGAAAGTTTCTCTTCTTAAAAACGTTCACATTATCAAAAAATACTTACGCGGTAACCTAATGCAGATGAAATTTCCATTGAAATTAGTCGTAGAGGGCGAGGGTGCTTATTAGCACAAATCCTGGAGGCTTTAGGGTTTACTAAATCACTTCATCAGCTGAATGTGAGTTCACAGCAGCACTGTATTTTTTTTGCCACGCACCTTGTCCAAGATGCAGCATTTCACTTGGGAGTTTGGGCCCATCAAGGTGAGATTCATTCAAGAACCAAGAGACGGGATGCGAGGTTTTTTTTTTCCTTGAGACGACGCCTTTCGACTCGTATTTCATTAAGCAGAAAGAGAGTTTTAAGCGAAACAACAAACTCGGTAATACTCTGATTACCAAGGCCAACACACACGCACCCACCGGACAACACATGGTACTACACGATTGAACCAAATTTAAGGTCCTGTTTGGTTGAGCTGTGGCTGTGGAAAAAAGCTGATGTGGGCTGTGAGCTGTGGAAAAGCTGCTGTGGGCTGTGAGCTGTAGAAAAGCTGAAAGCTGTTTGGTTAAACAAGTATAAAATATACCTTTTATCTTTATCTCTCTTGAAATAACTATAGAAGAGTTTTTTATTCCACCAATTTCAAAAAGCAGAAAGCCAAAAGCCAAAAACAGGGTCAACCCAGCTTTCAAAAATGAACTACGGAAAAGCAGCTGCTTCTGAAAAAGCACCCTCCAAAAGCAGCCCCTTTGGTTGGGCTTTTGGTTTTTGGGGCCAAAAGCTAAAGCCAAAAGCCCAACCAAACAGGGCCTAAGAACTCCACGGGACTGCGCTCAGTGTCCAGACAGAAGGATGCCGAGCTGCCTGTACCCAGCCATTCGCCAGTCCTCTGCGATGAGGCGAATGTCCACGGCGAGCTCCCTCGCTGTACGTGTACTGCCATCGAAGGTCCTCGCGTTCCTTTGTTTCCGGAGCATCCAACCGATCAAGAACACGATGGAGTCAAACCCGCGCCTGAGGTGCTTGTCGACGCGCTTCCTATTGGACAGCCGCCACTCCATGAACGGCTGCGGGCGAACATCCACATTAGGCAAGTGAAGCTAGTCCATCTAGGTCGCCCAGACCTCGCGGCTGTACGCACAGCCCAGCAAGATGTGATCAATTGTCTCTGGCTCCTGGTCGCAGGTGATGCAAGCGTCCGTTGGTTGAAGGCCATGGCGGTGACAACGCTCGCCGGTCCAGCATCTATCCTGCAAAGCCAGCCAATAGAAGAAGCGGACACGGGTGGCGCAGCCGTCTTCCACAACTGTGCAGTTTTATCCCAACATCTTTTTTTTCCGTTCTAAAAAGACATTTTTACTGTATATCTACCGAGTAGTAGTAATCACTTTGGTGCCATTAATAACTTTAAAAAAGTGTCAAGTAGTAGGGACTTGAAAAGGACTCATGAATCTTGCATTTCTGTCAAATCAACATAAAACTTGTTCTTTTCGGTAAACCTAAAGGCATGGTCCTTGATGTTACATTTCCACCGTTGAGCGTGACTTGGTACCATAATTCATCAATTTACCATCTTTTCTTCCCTCTGCCGAGTTAAGGGGGGTGTTTGTTTCTTTAGTCGTTTCTAAAATTTATGTCTCATCGAATGTTTAGATACTAATAAGGAGAATTAAATATAGATTAATTACAAAACCAATTACATAGATGGAGGTTAATTTGTGAGATGATTTTTAAGTCTAATTAATCTGTCATTAGCACATGTTTACTGTAGCACCACATTGTCAAATCATGGACTAATTAGGCTTAAAAGATTCGTCTCGCAAATTAGTTGCAAGTTGTGCAATTAGTTTCATAATTAATCTATATTTAATACTTTATGCATGCGTCTAAACATTTGATGTGACAAAAATTTTAGAAGCGCCTAAAGAACCAAACAGGGCCTAAAGATGTAGAGTTTCCAAACATAAGATACTAGAGCATGTTTGCATACGAGGTCTAAGCTAGAGAAAAATTAACCAAAATTAGCTCCAGTGCATCAAAACAGGAGGACTAATACGTGAGCTAATTTTTTAGCTGGCCTGTTCGTTGGTATTAAAGCCGGCTGATAAGCCGGCTGAAGCTGTTTTATTGTGAGAGAAAAATACTGTAGATTCTAGCTGATAAACCGGCTGATAAGTTCAAGTGAACAGGCTAGTCTAACTAATGAGCTAATTTTTAGCTCAGCTATAACTAGCCATGTGTATCAAACACGTCTTATAACAAAGGTTATTTCTTTGGGGTGCCCGTCAAAAGAAATTTGCCTATTTGTGTTTAAATTACCACCTAAGTAAGCTGCTTGAAGGTTGATGGCATTTCCTTGACTAGCCTGGTCAAACGCATCAAAACCCGGTCAAAAGCCAAGCTGAGACTGACCCTTAACAGCTCATTGGGAAGAGTCGGTACACTAATCTACTCCACTGTGATTCAATAAACAAATGAGTTCAAAAGACGTATATTTGGATAGATCTCCTTTGCACTCAACGCAATAATCAAACCCAATCAACACCTACCAAAAGGACCGCTAATATAATACTAGACAATTGCTCGATCCAGCGATAAAAAGAAAGTGATGAATCCCGGCCGTGAGAACAAAAAAATTGCAAACAGTAACGTCAGTTTCGTCATGATTTGGAGATTTCAACCAATTCTTACCCAATTTTCAGTTTTTGTTATTTTGATTGATGTCTCACTCCCATTCTTGAAAAACAGAGGCAATGAGCTTAAGTGAATAGAAAGAAAGAAAACGCCGCCTGCAAGAAACCAAAATCCTTTAACAGCGCACTTTCAATTAAATCTGTTACAGTAGAGTAGACAGTAACTTAAAATTAAATTGAAATCTTACTGTAACGGCAGCAAATGAAACTGGCTTTACTAGGCACTGTTTCTTTCTTGCCCCTCATGCCGGCTTAAACAAATGGTTGAAAGATCGAGCGCGTCAGTATTACGAATTGAGCTGCCTCCAACTCCAAACGAAAGGCAAAGATAAAAGGGAAAAAGGTGGAGGGAGGCCATTGATAGAGACCACGAGCTGTTCTAGAAGTCACCGCGCTGCAGCTCAGGGGGGCCCTGCTCCCTAGATCTCGCCATCGCCATTGCCGCTGCCCCCTACTACTGCTCCTGCGCCTAGTCCTAGACCCCTCCTACGCCAGCAGGTGGTCCGTTTTGGATCGCATTGCTGAGTGCTAGGATTCCGTGGTCTGCCTGCGTGTGGGAAAGTGTGAGTACTCCCTCCCTGCTTCTTGATTCGTCCCTCTGATTGTGTTTTCTAGAGCCACTGCTTTTTTATCTTCTTCTTCATCTGGTATTGATATTTGTGGAGTGGGTTTGATGCGGCTTCCTGCGACAAAGATCTCATTTTGATGGTCTGTCTGAGGTTTTTCGGCTTGATTTCGGCAGCTAAGTAAGCAGCCGCAGATACCATTTTTTCTTCGAGTATCCGCTCTTGTTGGATTGGATTTCTGAAGTGCTCGCAGATTGTCTCTTTATTTATATCGTGTTGCCTCCTTGTTTCTGATTACCTGTTTGGGATTCCAATATTCTGGGCATATGTTTTTTTCCCTTCCGTAGAGCGCGAAAGATCTCATTTTGATGTGCTAAACAGCTGCAATTGCATCTTAATTTGCTTCGGTCTCCTCCATTGAAGATCTCATTGGGGGTTTCTCCAAGATTTGCATCTGCATAGCGTTTGTCTCGATGCTGTTGTCTGTTCTGCATTTGGTCCTAGTGGCCGGTGCATTTCTTTGGCTCTTCATGCCGCTCGTCTGATCTAGGCGACATACCGACATCCAATTGACTGTCTTTTATTCTGATACGCCAGCTGCTAGTTGTCGGGCTTTATTTTGAGTTCAGCTGTTGGAGGATTTGGAAACTGCATTTCAAGAATTAAGCATCAACGCAGAATTTGATATTGGCGGGGCTGCTGTTCCGAGGAATTGGAGATGGACAAGAAGAATTGCCCTCCATCGCCATCGCCATCGCCAAGGTCGACTGAGAAGTCTGGAAGAGAATTGAGATCCGGGGAGGCCAATGGCAGCACAAACAGCAATAGTAACACCATCTCAAAAGGTGACAAGGAGAAAGGAGTCAATGTGCAAGTCATTCTAAGATGCAGGTGGAGAGGGCTCAGTATTCAAGTTTAAAAGTTCCTTCTAACTTTGTTTTTGTTATCACAATGTGTGATTTCATTCGTTCAGGCCCTTGAGTGATGAAGAAACAAAGTCGAATACTCCTGTGGTTATTTCGTGCAATGAGCGTCGCCGGGAAGTTGCCGCCACTCAAATTATTGCCAATAAGCAGATTGATCGTACATTTGCATTCGATAAGGTATTAGTTCACCTTGAACTGTCACTTTCTGTTGAGCAGTTACTTGATTGTTTCTTTGATACTTCGAATTTACCTAGTCTTGTTTACTTCATGTCCATGTGTTTTAACTCAGATTTAGTTAACTATTTCGTTTTGAGTAGGTTTTTGGCCCATCATCCAGGCAGAAAGATTTGTTTGAACAATCCATCTCGCCGATAGTAAATGAGGTCCTTGAAGGTTATAATTGCACTATTTTCGCTTATGGGCAAACTGGTACCGGAAAAACTTACACAATGGAGGGGGGTGGGACTAGAAAGACCAAGGTAAATATTTTGTTATGCATATAATCTGAAGGTGTAGCTTGGATCTGCATTTTAATTGTTAACTGGTTCTTCCAATGTCTAGAATGGTGAACTTCCAACTGATGCTGGTGTTATCCCAAGGGCTGTAAGGCAAATCTTTGACATTCTCGAGTCTCAGTGCGCAGAGTATAGCATGAAAGTCACCTTTCTTGAGCTTTACAATGAAGAAATCACTGATCTGTTGGCACCTGAAGAACCAAAATTCCCTGTTCCTGAAGACAAGACGAAAAAACCTATTGCCCTTATGGAAGATGGAAAAGGGTTTGTTTTTGTGAGAGGACTTGAAGAAGAAGTCGTGTACTCAGCTGGCGAAATCTACAAGATTCTTGACAAGGGTTCTGCAAAGAGGCGTACTGCAGAAACATTGCTGAACAAGCAAAGTAGTAGGTCACACTCTATATTCTCAATCACAATCCACATTAAGGAACTCACTCATGAGGGTGAGGAGATGATCAAAATTGGGAAGCTTAATCTTGTCGATCTAGCTGGTTCAGAAAATATATCACGCTCAGGTGCTAGAGATGTGAGTAACTTCTAAATGTCCAATTATAGATAAAAAAAAGATCAAATGCTTCTCTCTGATCTTTCAAATTGAATAAAGTACTTTTAACATTGAATTTACATTGCAGGGCAGAGCGAGAGAGGCTGGAGAGATCAACAAGAGTTTGCTCACGCTTGGTCGTGTTATTAATGCTCTAGTAGAGCACTCTGGACATGTCCCATACAGGTAACCCTATGAAAGGCCCTTGACAACTTTGATTTTAGTAACACATTGCTCAATGACAATTTATGTGTATCTTTTTATTTCAGAGATAGTAAACTCACAAGGTTGCTGAGAGATTCATTGGGAGGGAAAACAAAGACTTGCATTATTGCTACAATATCACCTTCAGTATATTGCTTGGAAGAGACATTGAGCACACTTGATTATGCACACCGTGCAAAAAATATCAAGAACAAGCCAGAGGTTTTATTTATTCTTTTTTTATTTGTTTGGATGAGTCAGTCATGTTGATGTTTCGTTATTTTAGACAGTACAAAGTTCACAATTGGTTGCTGTAGGCTAACTTGGCCTGATGTAAAATTCAGGTAAATCAAAGGATGATGAAGTCTGCTGTGATTAAGGACTTGTACTATGAAATTGACCGCCTCAAACAAGGTTCTTCTTGCTAATTTTTGTAACTTGGAATGATAAGGATCATACATCTTGTATTCATCCGGTCTCCTGTATGTCTCCAGAGGTGTTTGCTGCAAGAGAGAAGAATGGTATCTATATTCCAAGAGAGCGCTACCTCCAAGAAGAAGCTGAGAAAAAGGTTTATCTTGATTTTCCAATAAACCCATATTTGATTTTGTTCAGATAAACTGAACCTAGATTTATTTTGTGTATCATCATCTCATCTTTTTCAAATTATCTTTGTCACTTAGGCCATGACAGAGAAAATTGAACGACTGGGAGCTGATCTGGAGGCTAGGGATAAGGTTAGTTGCCTTAAGCATTTGAAAAAAAATGATTGTGTTATTAATGGCTGAGATGTATTTTTTTTTTGTTGCCAAATCTGTGATCAGCAATTGGTTGAACTAAAAGAGCTTTATGATGCTGAACAACGTCTGAGTGCAGAGTTGGGTGAAAAACTTGGAAAAACTCAGGTATCCTTCCAGTCTGAGTCATCTGGTTTTACAGTCTTAGCAAATTTGTTACTTATCACTTCAGTCTTGTCTCTTGATTGTAGAAAGATCTGGAGGACACCAAGAGTGCTCTGCATGATCTAGAAGAAAAATACAATGAAGCAAAGTCTACTATTAAAGAAAAGGAATATGTCATATTTAACCTTCTGAAATCAGGTTTGTTGCGATCACTAATTCATGCAAGACTTGAGGCTTACCATATTCTGCACATTTTTTTGTGTTCTTTTTTGTAAACTTAAATATTCAGTTGATATAAAATTTATAATCTTTCAGGGGTTTCTTGGTTCCTCAATGCTTGGTTTCGATTAATCAGTCCTATGTCTGTTTATTGGTTTTGCCATTCATTCAGTAACAAGTACTTTGGTTTTCTCCACAGAAAAGTCACTAGTGGATTGTGCATATAAGCTTCGTGCGGAGTTAGAAAATGCAGCAGCAGATGTTTCTGGGCTATTCTCCAAAATAGGTTAGGGATCTAACTATTTTTCTTAATACCAGGGATCTTAACCGGATCACCCCTTTTTTGTGACTGTTATGGACTTGGTCTCACTTCAGTGGGCACTATTCTTCACTACTTGCAGAGCGCAAAGACAGGATAGAAGATGGGAACAGGTCGATAGTGCAGAGGTTTAGATCTCAACTGGCCCATCAGCTGGACGCCTTGCATAAAACTGTATCCAGTTCCGTCATGCAACAGGAGGACCACCTTAATGAAATGGAACATGATATGCAATCCTTTGTGTCTTCAAAAGATGAGGTAATTCAGTCTCTTATGTTTCTCACTGCTTTGCTAAGTTTTGTCTGAAATGCTATGCGAGAGTATTTATTGATATGCATCAGTTATCCATGTTTAGGCTGCACAAGGGCTAAGAGAGAGTGTACAAAAGCTCAAAGTCTTGCATGGTTCCGCTATCACTGCTTTGGATGATTTGGCAGGTGAAATTGACATGAATTCGCGGACAACATTTGAGAGATTAAATTCACAAATACAATCACATACATCAGCCCTTGAGAAAGTAAGTTCAATTCAGTTGGCCTAATATGAATGCACTGGATTTTGCAACATTTCTGATTGTTTATTTCTGTTTGAAGTGTTTTGGAGGAATTGCTTCGGAAGCAGATAACTTGTTAAATGAGCTTCAGTGCAGCCTATCGAAACAAGAAGAGAGACTAGCCCATTTTGCAAAGAAGCAGAGGGAGGTCTGCATCTTGTCGAAGCATAAAATCATTTGCTGTTCTCCTAAGCTGCTTTGTGTTGTAACTTTTGTTGTTGGGTGCAGGGACACCTGAGAGCTGTGGAAGCATCACGGTCCATCTCAAAGATCACTGCTGGTTTCTTCCACTCGCTAGATGTTCATGCATCTAAGCTCACCAGTATTTTGGAAGACACACAAAACGTGCAAGATCAACAACTTGTTGACCTTGAAAAGAAATTTGAGGTGCTTATTGCACAAACTTTATGCAGTTCACTGTATGTTATGATCTCACAACATAGCATAATTTATTATTTTTAACAGGAGTGTGCAGCTAATGAAGAAAAACAGCTTCTAGAGAAGGTGGCGGAGATGCTTGCAAGTTCCAATGCACGGAAGAAGAAGCTGGTAAGGATTTTCAATTCTTTCAGCAGTTTAGACTTTGTTTTGTACCCATCTGATTAATATAATCAAGTAAATGATGTGCTATAAAAAGAAGTAATGTTCTCAAGGATAGATGACCTGAACTATCACACCACTGCTACACACTGTTCATCATGAGCATGTATTGCAGGTCCAAACAGCAGTAGGTAGCCTTCGAGAGAGCGCTGTAAACAGAACAAGTCACCTGCAGAAAGAAATTTCGATGGCCCAGGACTTGACCTCATCCGTGCGGGAAAAGTGGGGCTTTTATATGGAAGAAACCGAGAAGAATTATATCGAGGATACCACTGCAGTTGACAGTGGAAGGTCTTGCTTGGCCGAAGTGCTTGTAGAATGGTCAGTACAGCATCGTGTATTCATGTGATGGTGGTTCCTTCTGGTCCAAAACGTGGATGTTCTGAAATTTGACCTTCACTTGGAAATTATTGCAGCAAGGCGAAGACTACCATGGGTGCACAACAATGGAAGAATGCGGAGGATTCTCTATTCAGCCTTGGCAAAGGAAATGTGGAATCTGTAGATTCTATAGTCAGGTATCAGAATAGGAATTGACATGGGCAATCAAAAAATTCTCTGTTGAAATGAATGGTAGGCGATGAGTATGTGCTGAAGTGCTTGTGTGTATGACAGGACCGGAACAGAGGCCAACCAAGTACTGCGTTCCAAATTGTCATCTGCGGCATCGTCAACTCTTGAAGATATAGATGTTGCAAACAAGGCTCTCCTTTCTTCAGTTGACAGTAAGACCACACTCTGAAACTTGGCCTCACCTAAGTGCATAGCATAGCATGAACAACTTCCTTTTCCTTACAACACATTCCTGGCATTTCAGGCTCGCTGAAGCTTGACCATGACGCATGTGCAAACATTGGTGCGATTCTTACGCCGTGCCATGGGGAAATGAGGGAGCTGAAGGGGGAGCATCACCACAAGGTTGTGGAGATCAGTCAAAACGCTGGGAAATGCCTTGAGGAAGAGTATCTGGTGAGCAGTCATGAGAAAGCTAACAGGTAGTAAAGAAAATGCTTGTGCTCTTTATCTCTTACTGATGAAATCGCCACTGCACCTTGAAATTGAACAGGTGGATGAACCGTCGTGTTCGACGGCAAGGAGAAGGCAGATCGACCTGCCAAGTGTGGAGTCAATAGAGGAGCTGCGAACGCCAGACTACGACGAGCTTCTCAAGTCGTTCCGGGAGTCGAGGGGGAGCTGGAAGCAGGCAAATGGAGACACAAGATATTTGTCAGAGGCGGCTCAGGAACAAACAGTCATTGATTCAAGAATTCCTCTCATAGGAAGAAATTAGATTTACCAAAAGCTTGTAAAAAAGAAAAGATTAGCTTTTCCATATTGTGTTGATAGTGGTATTGGTTAACTGCGGTTTGTTTGGTTGATGCTTGTTTGTTCTTAGGGTGGTCTACTTGTACAGTGAGTCATATATACCTGCTATCGCATCATTGAATCTGTTGTAATATATGCTGGTGTCCACCAGGTGTAGTAGCCTGTCTGCCCTAGAGCCCTAGTGTCTGTCCTCAGGATTCGTCAGCTATTTGTCCAGCTCTTGTTTTAGGATACGTGTTAGTACCACATGGCGTTAGTCAATACAGTAGTATGGTTGCCGTGATACTAACAAAAAAAAAAATTTGAATGGTGAACGTATAAATGCTCCTCTCTTTTCCAAAATAGAAGTTGTTCTCATTTATCAAGAAGTCAATATTTTTTAACTTTGATCAATTATATATAAAAGAATATTAATATTTATAATATATAATTAGTATCATTAGATATATTGTTGAATATACTTTCATAATAAACTTATTTGGAGATATAAATATTACACACATTTTCTATAAACCTAGTCAAAGTTAAGAAAGTTTGACCTGCACGCATCCCATAACAACTTTCTTTCTGGGACGGAGGGAGTACATTGACCTTTTATACATAATTGTAAACTTTATCACGATTAATTTATTACACTAGCACCTGTTAGCTGTTGTTAGCTGTTATTGAGCTTTACACATCTGCACTCCAAGTGTGTAAACCACACTCATCAGACGGCTGTGGCCGCTTGGCTGGACACTGCCTGCTGTTTCAAGGACATTAAAGCAGGCAGGCAGCATTCATAACAAAGCATCAGACACCAGAATTCACGGTAGCAGCAGCCTCTAAACGGAAGAAATCATCCATTATCGACAGCACCATTTCATTTCATCGAAACATGAACACATACCACATAAAATGCCTAATAACTTTAAGATTAGAAGTGTCACAGCAGCAGCACTAGGGAAAAAAGGTAAACTACAGGAGCCCATTTAAATTAGGCAAATTTTGGGCTGGCACACTGGGGAAACGTTGCTTTGACCGCGGCACACCGCCAACTGCGTTATTGGCTGAGACACATTGCGAATTTGGGTTCCTTTGTTGTAACACACCTCGCGTAGTAAACAATCATTTTCCCTGGTTTTAGATAGAGAACTTTTTGGAAATGACAATGGGTGCCCCTGGGTCGACTTGACTTGCCTGGTTGACCTAGCTACTCTTGCAATTCCCCATCCCTGGCCGCCATCAGTCTCACCGCCGCCACCAGTTTAGCCGTCGCCCTCCTCTCCACACCCGCGCTCCCTCCTTGTCCACAATCGGCGCCACCTTCCTCTCCGCAGCTATGTGTCCATAGATCCAAGCAGAGGAGTTGGACGAGATGGCACCAGAGAAAGGGGAGAATCGCTTGGGACCGAGGAATGAATCGTCATCGAAGGGCCTAAATCTTGGTTGGGTTCCAGAAGGGTAAGCATTTTTGGCCATTTGATGTGCAAGTTGTTCAATTAACTATTTCAGTGTATCTCCATCAAGTGATTTGGTTCTATTTGGCGTTATCAATATGCGTTAAAGCCTCGGTCGATTTAGGGTTTCAATTATGAATCACTTTTCATTGTTCCCTACCATTTGTTTCATTTGTTTTAGGATGGATAGTAGTTCGGCATGCAGAATTGCTGCGCGCGTTCCAAATTATGTCGAGGTTTGCGATGATGGTAGTCATGTAGTGCACCCAGATTCAAATCTTGAGCTTGTTGTTGATCGTGATTCAACCAACTTGATGGACCTAAAAGATGAAATAGCAAAGGGAGTGAAGCATGGTTCGAATCAAGGAATATCAATTTGCTATTGGAACAGGACTGTGTCCGCTTTCACCAATGTAACTTCTGATGCCAGCTTGATGGATGCAATGGACCTGTATTGGGAGATGAGGAGGTTGCCTCTGTTTGTGGCAGTTTATGACACAGTGACAGTTGAGCACAGCCAAAGTGTATCTGTTGAACCTTCTGCACATCATGTCGGTAGTGCTAGTGTTGCCACAGAGCCCCTCCCTCTGGCTTTGATTGAGTCTGTTGCTGAGGATGAGACAGAAGATGTCGTAGCTAACAATGCAGAGACAGGGACTACCAAAACCAAGGCTAAGTCTAAGAGAGGTAAGGGAAGGAAAAGGGATCTCTCAGATGATGAGAAACCATGGGATGAGGATGAGGTAGAATATGTGGGTCTAAATGATGAGCATCCGTATTTATCTGATGTTGAAGAACAGCTAGAACATGAGGGGCAATCAACTGATGGTAGTGAGTTGGATGACCTTTTTGTTGATGATGAAGCTGGATGTGAGATTGTTGAACATGTGACTGACCTAGAGAACCCAACCATTGCTCTTGGTGTCACATTTGAAGATGGAGATACTTTTAAGAGGGCAATTAGGCAGTTTGTTGTTCTAAATGAGTTCGAAATTGATGCACATTACAGTGAGGCTAAAAGGTATAGAGGGTTCTGCAAGGGCAGAAGTAGCAAAAAGAAGAAGTGTAGGTGGAGGATTCATGCTTCTGAGCTGTAGGATGGCGAGACATGGCAGGTCACCATACCTGCTTTTACAGTTATATGCGGTGTATTGTTTGTTTCATGCCCTTGTAAGCTGATTTAGCCCTTCTTTTTTTGTTGCAGATAAAAAAGCTCCATGCTAAGCATAACTGTGCTAGCACTTCTAAGCTTGACCAGAACTGCATGGCTACCAACAAATGGGTCAGGACAGAGTCATTGACATTCTTAGGGATCAACCAAATACTGGAGCTACAGAACTAAAGAAAGATCTGGAGAAGAAGTTCAAGATCATGCTATCTTACTACGTGGTTTGGGATGGGAGAAGGTTGGCTCTAGAGCAAATAATGGGAAAGTGGAATTATAGTTTTGCTGATGCTTTTAGTTTCAAAGCAGAGGTAGAGAGGACCAACCCTGGAAGCATAGTGGAGATAGAGTATGCTCCTGTTGGTAAAAAGATGAGGTTTACTAGGATGTTTATTGCATTGAAGGCTTGTGTAGATGGGTTTCTCAATGGCTGCAGGCCATTTTTAGGTGTTGACTCCACTGTTTTGATAGGAAGGTGGAGGGGTCAATTGGCATCAGCTTCAGCAGTTGATGGTCACGGCTGGCTATTTCCAGTTGCATATGGGGTGTTTGAGTCAGAGTCCGCAGATAGCTGGAAGTGGTTTTTTGAAAAGCTTCAGACTGCAATAGGCTCACCTCCTGGACTTGTGATATCCACAGATGTAGGTAAGGGTATAGATAGTGCAGTTACAGCTGTGTTTTCAAATGGAGTGGAACATAGAGAGTGTATGAGGCATCTAGTGAAGAACTTTCAGAAGAGGTATAGAGAGGCTGTTTTCAAGAAACACCTTTGGCCTGCATGTAGAGCTTTTAACAAGAAGCACTATGATCATCACTACAAGACCATGCAGAAAGCTTCTCCAAATGCAATAAAATGGACAGAGGAGAACCACAAACATTTGTGGAATAGGTGGAGATTCTCACTGGATAGCAAGTGTGACTATGTCACAAACAATATTGCAGAGACATTTAATAGTTGGATCAGAAAGGAGAAAGCACAACCAGTCATCCCACTGATGGACAGGATAAGGTAGATGATCATGGAGAAGCATGACCTTAGAAGAAGGTTACCCAACAAGATGACAGACAAGATCCTTCCTCATGTAACTAAAGATCTAAATGCAAAAAGCAGAAACCTGAACTATGTCATTCATAGAGGACACAACAACACAGCTGAGATTCAAGGCACAACTAAAGAGCTAAAGACCTGGAGACACACTATTGATCTAGATAACAGAACATGTAGTTGTAATAGGTGGCAGATCACTGGGCTCCCCTGCACTCATGCCCTTTGCTTCATTAACTCACTCAGAAACAAGAGTGCAGAGGACTATATTGATGACTACTACTCTGTTGATGTGTTCAAGAAGGCATATGCCGGAATTGTAATGCCTATAACAGATAGGAACCAATGGCCCAAGGTAGACATGGGTTTCAAACTGTGGCCACCAATCCTAAAGAGGGCAGCTGGCAGACCTAGAACAAGAAGGATAAAGGGTGCAGAAGGAGAGAGAACCAGTGGAATGAGACAGTGCAAGAGGTGTGGACAATTTGGTCACATGATGAAGACTTGTAATGAGACAGTGTATGACAGTGATGCTCCACCTCCAGCCGCACCTAAGCCAAAAAAAGAGAGGAACAAAAAGACAAAGGCTGCAAGCACTGCATCAACCCAACAATCCCAAACTAGAGCATGTTCCATCACCATTACAGCCCCACTACTAACCAACAGTCCTGCAGGCAACACTAGGAGGTTACATATCTCACTACCCTTGAACTTGTAACAATTTGCTTCTACTGTACTAATGTCTTTCATTTGTTAACAGTCGCAAGAGGAAGATGGGAAGAGATGGTGCAGAATCCACTGATCGACAGAGTACGAAGGGAGTGAATGGAAAAAAGGCAAAACAATGCAAGGGAGACAAGGTGCAGCCGAAGAAAGATCTGGACAAGGCCAAGAAGCAGCTGGTGATGGATGTGCTTGTTGAGTGAAATAATTGCAAGTGTAGTGTTTGCAACCTGCTGATGATGCTTTTGGAAGATGACTGCTAATGTTGTCTAGAACTATGCTTTTGTAGCCTTTGTAATGTAATCAGCCATAATTGGCCTAAATTTAGACTTTTCGTTGTTATGTGACTTGGCTATAAGCCAAACTTGAAGGCTTAAATTCAGACTTGTCGCTGTTATGTAACTTGGCTCGAAGCCAAACTTGATGGCTTGTAATGTTAAGACTAGATTGACTTGCACTTGATCTATTTTGTAGTTGCCATGCACTGAAACACATACACTTCATTGACAACCAAATTAGAACATCAGAACATACAGTAGCATTCATTGACACATAAGGGAGACATAAGTGATAGACATCAACTAAAAGTTCATACATGATGCCTACATTAACTCTGACAAATCAATGCTCACTTCACTAACACCACCAAGAGAAGTAGCACTACAATGAACATAGTTGCTAGACCTAAAACAAGCAAACGATCGCCTATCTTGTCGATGTTGCTCCCTATTGACTGATTGGCATCAACAAATTTCTTCAAAGCGGCATGTGCACCCTTCATAGATGCGGTTGTGCTTTCTAACAAGGTAGTGCATCCTCCAATTGATTCCTTCAAAGACTCCATGGCTTGAATCAGCTCCTAAGAGGACATCCTTGGATCCATGGCTTGAGTCAACCCCAGAGACGACGACCCTCTACTGATCTTTGAGAAACATCATGGAAGCTTGGATTTGCCGATGAGGTACTCAACGTATTGGTCCTCCCACATGTAGAACTAACAAAAGAAGATGAGGAACAATGCTCAGATGAAATCGGCCATACAACTACATCAATAGGCGGATAAAATTGCAGATCTACCAACTTACATGGTTAATTAGAGGACACTTGTAGAACCTCTGCCCAAAGCTCTTGTCCTGCTTCGACACTAGGCCAATCAACTGAGCTCCACACTTGCTGCAATCGACCAGGGGAAGGTTGCTTGTGCCATCCCTAAACGCGTCCAAAGATGGCGCGCTCGAGGCAGCCTCTGTCTTCGAGCTCGAAGCCATCTTCCCCTCCTGTCGCGACCTCGAGTGCTAGGGTATCACAGGACAAGAGCGAGAGAGAGAAGAGAGGAAGACGACTGACTAGGGAAGAAGAAGACGGTGTGGGGGATGAGGCAGCGACCGGGTGGGGCTTATTGGGTTGGGTCGCACCACTTGACTCAGCGAGGGGCAAACTCGTACAGTCACCTAATGTTCTCTGTCCAAAACCAGGGAAAATGATTGTTTACTGCGCGCGGTGTGTTACAACAAAGGAACCCGAATTCGCAATGTGTCTCAGCCAATAACGCAGTTGGCGGTGTGCCGCAGCCAAAACAACGTATCCCTAGTGTGCCAGCCCAAAATTTGCCTTTAAATTATGGCAAGAATGTACAAGCTATCTCAACTACAAAAGATCGGTTTTGGAGGAGTCAAGGCCTCATACTGCAGTTTCTGCTATGGTGTCCCAGCTGCATATATGTATAATAGCAAATAGCAACAAGAAAATGAATGCCGTCTTCTATCCTGCAAAACAAAGAAGTAGCCGTCACAATGGGGTACATGGATGAAGGGACAGCAGGGTCTGTATTGTCCAATGGTTAGAAAACAAGTGCAGTGTACATGGATGAAGGGGCAGCAGGGGGTTTGTATTGTCCAATGGTTAGAAAACAAGTGCAGTTATCAGAATATTTGATGAAACGAGGATGGATGCTACTGGAGAAGTCCTTTCCTCATTTGATATCTAGTATCTTGAGCTATTTGTAATTATTATCATTTGAAATACATAAACATCTATTTGCAGGGAACTACATGATCTATGACTGGGACATGAAGATTCTCAATGGTCAGCTAACCATGAGACTGCTCCAAACAACACTATATGATGAATTAGAGCATATCGATATCCTAAAATGAAATGGGGCTACCGCATCCTGACTATAACTAAGCATGGCCTGCGCAACTGGGTACCAAATATATATTACTGACATAGGAAAACTGCCTTGGTGCTACCTTCATGTATGAAATCATAAAATTCAAGCAGGGTATTAATAGAATAGTCTCCCTCTTTCAACGACAATCTGTAATCAACATCTGAAAGAAATTTGCCTATTTACAAACAATATAACCACAGGCCACACTATGGTAATCACATAAGCAGTAAACACAGAAGAATTATAAGATGATAATATAATCCCGCAGAAAGTATAACATGACAATTTCAATATAAAACAGACTGAGCTGTGCTGAAAACCCATCTTAGCATTTCTAGTTTACATTACTGCAGCTTAGAGGGAAAGAGAAACAACACTAAGAATGAAACAAACTATCCTAATACTAGCCAACTGTAGCAATAAGAACGGCACAGATGAAATATGGTTTCTGCAGAAATTACCTATGCTGACCCTTCAACACATTTCTAGCTGATTGAACCGTGATATGTTCTTATTCATGGTGGGGTGGCATCCATGCTGGTGTTCTCAGGAAGCGCCGTATTGGTTTTATTCTGTTCTGGGAGTGACTGCCAACTTGCTGTATTGCCATCAGCCCTGCTGCCTGGTTTTGCATCTATTGAATTCGAGCCACCATCATCTGGTGTTGCATCATTGTAAACAACTCCACCTGATTCTTCATAATTTTTTGATGATGGAACAGCATTAAGATCAGGATCACCTTCCAGGCCACCAGAAGACGGATTCTGAGTTGGATGATTTCCCTCGTCGTTAGCTTCTCCTGACAATGTATCCCCATGGTCTGTCTTTTGTTTTTTTGCATTGCTTGCTGAAGGGGTGCCAGTGCCATCGTCATCAATATCATCGTTTGCTGCACCTGGCTCTGCAAGATCAGAGATATCCCTCCTTGGTCTCTTCCATTTCTTTGTAGATGATGTGCCATCATCCTCAAAATCTTCCTCCTCCCTGCCCCTGTGCAGATAGGTCCACAATTTTTTGTCATTATCATATAGCACACAAGGGTCGCGTTCATAATGCAAACGATCGAGAGCTCCACTGACGACTTGATTAATTGCAGCCTCTTTATTGGCTTCTTCATGGTTTAGGTATTGTGAATCCCTGAGTAGTGTGCAGACATCGGCTCTAGTTCCAGTTCTTGCAGGCAACCTAGACGCAGCATCCCTTACAAGACACAGGATAGTGACATGTGGCGGTCGATCAGGTAAGAGCATGGGGTGACCCCTCGCTTTCGCTGTTGGCTTTCCACCTCCTCTTCTCAAGGGAGCAACTATAGACTTCTCCCCATCAGCAGCAGTATAGCAAAAAGCTCTATCAGGTATTGAGTACCTCAAAAATTCCTCACGCTGGAAATATGTCCTTGCTTCATCTGAGCTTGGACTTATTGTGTTCAGACTTTTCTGCGCTTTAAGCTCCTTGAACCTTTCCTTCAAATCCAAGTTTGCAGGATTTGGTGGTGGAGGTGGTGGAAGGGAACCTATCTGCTTAAGGGTTTCCTGACCACTTTTTAGCCAATTAGAAAATGCATCAACCAACTTAACAAGCATCTTGTGCGGTATACTCCATGCTTCAGCAGAAGTTTCTTCATCGGGGTCATCATATGATGAAACAGAAGGTACTGGACCAACCCAGAACCAACTTTTGTTTGACTTCTCATAGGCAACTAATGCTTTCCAGCCCTTTGCACCGAGAGGAGCTGTTCTAGATGAAAGTACTTTCAATACTCCTCGAACTAAATCCTGGAGGGGCTCCTGTGTTTCAAGTATCCTAGGATCTCCAGGATTTGCTCTAATTCGATTGACAATCTCTTGAACAGTAAGCGCCGGTGCATTGATTGGTACAGTTTGTTCTGCAGCAGTGGCATTTGCACCCTCATGTTCTGCAGCACTGGCATTTGCACCCTCAAGGACCTGTTCAGCTTGATCTGTTGTACTTTGTTCTTGATGAGGCGTTTTGCTGCATTCTTCACTGTTGAACCATTTTTCGCCCTCCTCTCCATCTGGTTGCTTCGCTGTGGCTGGAGTACCCTCAGCAGGAGTGACCATAGCCTTCTTTACGGCAGTTAACAGATGTACAACAGAAAACGAAAAACCAGTATGGATCGTTGGTGTTATCGGTACATACTTCTTCTTGGGCTTCTCAACCTTCTCAGGCTTCTCAGGCTCTGCAGTTACCACAATATTTTCGGGTACAGTAGCAGCTGGTTCTGCTATAACAACTGCATCCGTGGTGCTGCTCTCTGGCTTCTTTTTGCTTTTCTTCTTGGATCCACCAATGTTCTCAACAACCTTTGGGCCAGATGACAAATGCTCACCATGCTCATCCAGGCTAGGAACTTCGACTCTTCCTTTTGCTTTTTTGGAGCTGGAGCTGACTCTTTCAGTACCACCATAATCACCATTAGAATCTTGGACTGCATGGCCTGATCTACTGGCAAGCCTTTCATTCTCCGCCAACCTGGACGAGTCATTGGCATTTTCATCGACTTCATGCAGATCGGAGTTATCATAAACATGCATGTCCAGATTTGTCACCCCTTTCCGTTTCCTTTCACCACTTGCTGCTGGAGGTTTCATGACATCACTAATCTGTTCTGTCATCATCACATCCACATCACGTAAATAACCAGTCTCTGAAATCTTCCCTTTGAATCCTTTGCTCTGGGAGGGTTCTAAATCTGCATCAGCAGTAGGATAGTTCATTTTGACCACTTTAGCAAGCTTGTTTGACTTTTTGGCACCATGTGCTGGTCTATGATACCCAGAATGGTGACGCTCTGTCTTCCGTTCGAGATAATGCACTTCCCCGCCGTCTTCAAACTTTTCCGATGAATCGGATTCTGTCTCCTCACTTTGAGTATATACAGCATTGCTCCTGGAGTGCTTCTGGCCAGTCCTATCTAGTTGTGTACTGGATTTACCTGCCATCTTCGCTTGTGATATCTTGCTTCTAGGGTCAGAACCAACACGGGCATCATTAACCTGTTGCTCAATACTTTTATAGGACTTAACCTTCAGGCCATAACCAGCTTGATCTTTCCTGCTCCTGTAATCACCTGCAGACTGCCCCATCTGCCAGTCATCTAAGTTACCAGAGTGGGTACCAGATGGCCAGTTCATCTCACCACCCATTTGAGCTTTATTAGCATGCACACCTTTTCCACCTTGTACCCAGTCTCTCTCTGAGTACCTTGCATTCCTTCTGGTGTCAAAATATGGAGGATCATATGCTGCTGCTAAGGTGACTCCCTGATTAGCACTGGGATTCCTGCCATAGTAGTAAGGAGAGGCAGTATGGTTATCACTGTAGTTATTTCCATACAGATTGCCATCATAGCTCGTAGCCAGTTCCTTCTTCTTCACTGGCTTGGGCAGCAGCCTTGGAAACCGAGATCTTGACGAATCCCTTTCATATCCTAGGTCCTCCGAGTAAAGGCCGTCTATGCTCCTGTGATGCTTCCCTCTATGCGCGCCTGAATCATACCTGTACACATTATTATCTTGACGAGAAAGCTCAGAGAGTGCCACCACAGCATCGTGGCCAGAATCCCCCATGTACTCCTCATCCACTCCTTTCGGTGTGCCCACTCGCAGCAGCCCCTTCGACTTCTCTTTCACTAACTTCCCTGCCTTCTTCTGTCCACTCTTATCATGCTTGAGCCGAGCTAAGACCTGTTCCCCAGACCCCCTGCTCTCGGAATCAGTCTCCGATCCAGCCCGCCTCGCCGAATCTAGAGCTTTTCTCTGCTGCTGCTGCTTCTGTGCCTTCAACGTGTCCAACATCCTCAGCCTCTCATCAAGGCTGTATCCCGCGCGGCCCTTCCAGCAATCCTTGATCTCCCGGAGCCCCCGTACCATGGAGTTGTGGTAGCTCTGCAGCCAGTAGTAATGCTTGCGCAGCTCCACGAAGCGGGTGCCGCGGCGGTACAGATTGACCCTCGGGTCGCAGAGCCCACCCTTGAGGTGCTCGAAGAGGGTGGCGACGGGGCTCCCGAAGTGGAAGTTCTGCCCCGCGAGGAGCTCGACGAGCGTGCGTGCAAAGGTCTCCTGGTCCATGTCGGGCAGCAAGGCGGCGAGGCGCAGCCGCTCGTCCTCGCTGAGCAGGGTGTTCCAGGCGTCGAGCGAGAGCACATCGCCGAGGCCGGTGAGGTCATAGAGCTCCAGCGGCACGGCCACGCTCTGGTCCCCGACCTGGCACATCTCCGCGCCAGGCTCGCCGAGCTCCGCGACGTCCAGCTCGTCGGAGCCCATCCCTGAGTCCCCCTCGTCCTCTTCCTCTTCCTCGGGCTCATCCTCCTCTTCCTCATCCTCCTCCACCTCCTCTGGCTCCTCCCCTCCGCCGCCACCACCGTTGTCCTCGTCGTCGTCGTCGTCGTCGTCGTCCTCGTCCTCGTCGCCAGCGGAGAAGCCGTCGGCCTCGGACTCCTGCGACGGCGTGGCCCGCGACTCCTCCTCCTCATCGTCCTCCGTGGCATCCGGCGAGGCCTCCTCGCCGCCGTCAAGCCTGGGGAGCCGGACGCCGGCTCCGGTCCTCACGATCGCCATGGCCTCTCCCACCTACGCCGCCGAGCCAAAAAGAAAACACCGCAACAAAGCCAAAGCAGTTAAAACCCTAGCCCCCAATCCACTGCCTCCTAGCAACAGGAAGGAAGGAATCAAGCAGGGGCGCAGTACATAAGGAGCGAAGCGAAGCGAAGCTCACTCACCGGAACGACCCCCACGCGGGCGGAGCGAAGCGGAGCGGCCGGGATGCGGCGAAACCCTAACCCTAGCACGCGCGCGGCGAGGGGACGGGACGGGAAAGGGGGCGAGTTGTGAGGGGAGGGCGACGGGGCGCTGGGGTAAATAGTGGATGGGGGAGGAAGACGACGGCGACGTGGCGCGCGCGGGAGCCGTCGGATCGGGGCAGGGCCGCCGCGGGGGTGGGGAGTGGCGGCGGGTGGGAATATGGCGCGGGGGCAGGGGGCGGCCCGCAAAAGTGTTTTTAGTCGGGGTCGGTCAGCGCGAGTGCGGAGAAGGAGAAGGAGACGGAGACGAGGCAGACGCACACGAGGAAGGGGAAAGCCCCGCGGCCGGGTTTGCGGGCGCGGGGCCCGCTAGCCCGGAAACTCTGCCAGGTGGGCCCCGCTCGCTCTCCTGTCGGGTACCCGGGTTTGCGCGGGAACTTAGCTTCGATCGCGGGCTTTTTCGTTGGTTGGTTGATGATACTCCGTCATCGTCCAAATTATAAATAAATTGTTTTACCTTCGCGGATACATATAATTTTGTTACGTATCTAGATATAATTAAAAATTATATACCTAGAAAAGTCTTAGTAACTTATAATTTAGAATAGAAGAAATACGTCTATCTTAAGCAGAAAAATTCTATAATAATTTTAACTATGTTTAGAGATAAACTATTATTAATATTAATAACTCTAAACAGATATATATTATAGAAATATATTTTACAATTAATCTAATAAAAGTTATCTGGTGCAATAAATATTGACATTTTTTATAGATTAGATTAAATTTTAAAATATTTTTGGTTTCTTGAAAAGCGAGAATTGCATATTTTTAAAATAAAGAGAGTATATACAAAACAAGAAAATAGGCTATCTTCGGTTCAATCATAGTTTTGCAATCATTCTACCTTGACACTGTAGAAAAGGTGAGATATGTTTAGAGCAACCCAAGAGATCATAAAAATTAAATCTGAAATCTTAGTTTTTGAGGCTCTTAAAAAATGGCTCTCCAAATAGCAACCATTCCATAGAATATCTTTTTTTTCTCTCTCAATCTCTATTTTTGTTTTTTTTAATGTAATATCATATATTTTTCATATGATCGGATCGCACCACCCTCACGTGTCGTCTTGATGTACAAGATGACGACCGCATTTCTATTGCGTCAGGTTAGCGCCTAGACGTCCGGCCCTAGGCCTGCATCCCCCTCGCCCCGCGCTTGCTCCATGCCACACGCCCCACCCGCTCGAATTCCATGCCGCTCGAACGACCCCCCCCGCATTGAGAAGAGTAGGAGGCACCGAGGCGAGGCAGCAGAAGGTGAGGAGGAAGATGCAACACCCGATCTATTTTTGAAACACCCCATTCAGAAAACAGCTGGAGCACTTGCAACATACGTCTAAAACACTTGTAAAAACACCTAAAACGCTTATATATGCAATATCTAGATAAAACACATGCAACATATATATATATATATATGTGAAACACGTGCAACATTCAGATAAATACACTTGCAACATACGTCTGGAAAAAACAAATAAAACATTGGGAACAAAAGCTTGCAATATACGTGTACAACCATTGCAACATCCCGATCTACTGTTGCAACATTCACATGAAACACTTGCAACATCCAGATGAAACATCTGAAACACTTGAAACATACTCTTGCAATATGCGTTTTCAGCGCGCAATGTCACCTCGCTGCTTAGGACGAACCACGGAGCTCGATGCTGCCGCGGCGCATGGAGCAAGCCGGTGCGCCCCTGGGCGAGGACCTACTCGGCGGCCTGGGTGAGCACCTGCGTAAGGCGCGCGAGCCCCCCTGGGCGAGCACTTGCTCCGCAGCCCGGGCTAGCGCACCCTGGGCACGGCGGAGGATGGGCATGGCGTGGTCGGGGACGTAGGTGCCGTGGGGGATGGCAGCGGCGGCGCGTTGGAGTGGCCTAGCAAGGTCGGTGCCCAAGCGCTGTGCCTCGAAGGTGGTTGCGCGCCGATGCTGGAGGCGGCAGACGAGCGGATATAGAAGCAGATGAGTGGATAGGAACGAGTACATGGACGAGCATATATTTTTATCTAGAAAGGGGGGGGGGGGGTTGTTCTTGAGCTGCCGTCGCGTGGCCCACCAACGAAGTGTCGATGAACGCCGGCTTCCTAGCATTAGCATTTCTACTAACACCCATTCACTATGACGGCCAGGAGTAGCATACATCTTCGAACCTTCTTTTGGGCTGAAGAGCAAAGCCTTCCATTAATTGGTTGAACATGGTTGCTACTTCCGCTTCTGAAGGTTCACCCCGCCTTAGCCTCTTGGAACCCTACTCGATCTCCTTGCAAGATGACCAGGAATCCATAAACATATCTACTGAGAACACAAGTTCATGAACCAACTAATCTTGCTCTCTTGCTCTCTTGCTCTAGCGACCCAAGTTCATGAACCAGAGAAAGCGTCTAATTTTGAAGATGAACTTTCAAGATATGTTGGAGATTGAGAGCACCCCACCGATTCGCAGTCCCAACCTTCAAAGGGTATGGAAACATAAACAGCTACCTCCATGTATCAAAACTTTCTCCTGGAGATTGATTAGAAGAGCTTTAGCAACTGGGGTTAGATTAGGAAAATTCACAGAAAGAATGCTCAACCTGCAACGCAGATGAAACTGATGCTCACTTGTTCTTCCATTGTCCTTTTGCTAGAACGGTATGGTTCTCTGCACAACCTTCTTTATGCACATCTACTTTGCCCACAGAACAGGACTGCGTACAGGACACCCTATCGCTATTAATCAATCAGTACACCACTGACGAACAGGTCAGATTAATCTTGACCACTGTGTGGTATATATGGAAAGCGAGGAATGATACCCGCTTCCAGAAAAAAGCATGGTCTGTTTGGCAGGTGCACAATGCAGTTGCGGCTGACATCAAAACATCATCGCTCTGCATGGGAGGCAAAGATCAACAGAAGAATAAAACGGTGCACAATCAACAAATTACCCAAGGTAATATTTTGCTCATTGCAGGAACAACAGGGCAAGAGGAGGATGCATATTCCTCTGTAAGTCAGAGGCCCCATGAAGTGCAGTTACCTGCACCACCTCTTTTCAGGGTATTATTACCGGCGCTCATCCCAGGGACCAGGATCTACACTGACGCAGCTTTGGCTCCGGACTCCTTACCTCAAGCTACTAGGAAAGCTGGATTGGGTATTTTCATCGTCAACGCGCATCAACCCAATCAGTCTGCAGTATATATCAAAGCAATATCCCCCCAGACCACATCAGTGCTTATGGCAGAAGCAGCAGCCTTGATGCTTGCTGCTGACATTGCCTCAGCTCTCCAAATCTGGCAACCCACTTTTTTGTCGGATAATCAACAGCTGATGACATTTTTTTACAGGTCGGAGCACTCCAATCCTCCATGTTAGGAGATTATACCGTTCACGCAGAAATTCATTGAGATCTTCAAATCCCCAGGAAGCTTAATAACACGGCGCACATTCTTGCTTCACAGGCTTCAAGCACTTCAATAAACCATGAACACTCTTGTAGCATAGCTTGCTCAAATCAAGACCATGTACATGCTTGCCCTATCAGGGAAGCTCTGAATGATGTACGTACTTGGAAAACACTTTGTTATCATTGCAGCAACATGCTGCTAATAAAATTGCTATTTATCAAAAAAAAAACCATGCCCACCGCCAGCGACTGGACCATCATGTTAGAATCGATGTTGTACCTCTCTGTGTGTAACCCGTAGATCCAGGGAAGACCTCATCCTTGTCTTCTCCGTAGATGTACCACAGCGGGTAGACGCCGGTGCCGCGGTAGCTCCGGCTCGGTGGAGTCCGTAGTGGTACTGCAGTGATCCGGTGGTGACCTGCAGGGGCAACGGCGGTGCGGTAGGACATCCCGTCGCTGGCAGCACTTCTTTAGGATCGGATTAGAGTTTTCTGTAGGTGGGATGACGGCTCCAGTGAACCTCGTAGTCCGAGCCTTGATCCCCACCTTCCTTTTATGTGTGTTGTGCGACAGGGGCCCACCAACCGTATTAGGGTTGGGCTGCCCCGATCAGGGAGCAGAGACAAGGGCCCACTAGGCCGTTGGGCCTATTGGTGGAGATCAACTAACATTCTCCCCCTTGATCTCATTCCATCTTTCAATTTCATATCATTTATTTTTGTTCATTCCTTTACAGATTAGCGCATAGAGCATGTCTCATCGTCAAGGTCCATTGCCGATAGACTTAACAGCTACAACACACTATTCTGTTTTGAAATAGATACTTATCTTTGGGCCTTCTTTTGTCCAGAAATTTTAGGCTTTCCCTTAAACCCATTCTAACTACATGTTCTCTGAACACCATGTTCTCTGAACACATTAGGTGGTAAGCCTTTTGTAAGCGGATCCACGAGCATTCTTTCTGTACTTATATGCTCAAGATTTATGACTTGATCCTGGACTTTATCTTTCACAACATAATACTCTATGTCAATATGTTTGGCAGCACCACTTGACTTATGTTATGAGCATACTGTACTGCCAGATTATAATCGCAGTATAACTTAAGTGGTCTATAGATGTCGTCAACCACCTTCAAACCGGATATGAACTTCTTTAGTCAGTTCACCTACCCGTTGCCTCATAACACGCTACAAACCGTCATACATTGTGGACGATGTAGTGACAGTTTGCTTTGAGCTTTTCCATAAAATAGCTCTTCTTTGCGAGATGATAGAAAATCCACGTCTGGATATGTATTCACTCTCGCATAATCAGAATCTGAATATCCCACTATGTGGAATGAATCAGAT